CTTGAAGTTGAGGTTCTCGTCGATAATGTGGAGTCTCAAGTCACAAGCAAGTGAAGTGATAGGTGATGAAGACGGCTCGTGACCTTGAGGAAGATGAAGTCTCCACTCACGAGACCTCTCCTTCGCATCTGCTCTTGTCTCATTGCCCCAAACCAGATAAGATATATTCGATTGACCACCATCGTATCCACCAAGAGGGATTGATGTTGATGTGGTCTTAGTTGGGCAAAGAGACACTGCAAATGGGTCCTTTCCAAGCAGCTCCTCAAAGTTTGGTGGAGAGATCAAATGTAACATAGGCCTGGTGCAAGCCTCTTCCACCTCAACTTCATCCTCAACCTGGACGCCAATTGCCTCCACAACCCCCCTTCCTTCTTCAAAATGTGGTCTCTCCCCTTGGAAAAGATCAAGAACTACCTCTTCGTTACTTCCTTCCTCATCCTCCACAACTTCCTTCCTCATCCTTGCTCGCTCTTCTTCTTCCAGAACATATTGGAGAGTAAGTCGCCAAGCAATTTCTTCAATGGGATCATCTTGCCTCTCCTCGCACAGGCCCAACATGCTACAGCATAAATGAGGAACGGTGTGATCTGCCACCAGAGGACTTTCCTGATCATGATCATCATGGGAGTTCTCTGTGATAAATTCTAGGCTCCCCGACGCCCCCGTTGCCCTTGTCATACTCCACCTCTTCTATCATAGTAGCAGAAAGGTGATCTTGAGCAGGATGTGAGCAAACTTGCTTCACCCACTCTATTTGCTTCGCTGAGCACTGAACAGTCTGCTCCATGTCATGGAGAAATGAGGGATCGGAAGAGGCAAGGGCTTGGATTTGAAGATCCATCTTGGAGCATGCTCTCTCAGCGTCTCGAGCAAACTGCTCCACGAGAAGCCTTAATTGTTTGTTTGGATCTTCCAGTGAAGTGTAGCATGGCTCTGCAGAGTGGCCCGCGAAGGTCTCCATGGCTAACTCCAACTCAGATGGCCCCTCTGGTTGTGGCAGGAACTCTTCTTGAAAAGGGTATTGTTCTTGAGGTTCCCAAGGGTTTGGTTGTTCTCCATAGTTGGGGGGTTGGTACTGACATCCGACTCCATAGTCTTCTCCTCCTTGATTGCTCCAGGAGGTCTCGGGGTAATACCACACGGATGGTGGTTGATACCCCCAATGGTTGTAGAAGCCATGAGGATCCATGTTTCAGAGCTGCACCAACAAAAACATAACACCCAAGTGAAAAGCAAGGGTGGAAAAGAAAAGAAAGTTCAATAAATAAAAAGCTAGAGTAACAAATTCTCACGTTTCCCCAATAACCTAGAGGTTCCCCGGCAACGGCGCCAAAAACTTGACACGCCAAAACACAACACCAAACTGCGACCAAGTGTAATCGCAGTCTGGGAATGAAGTAACAGGCAAGTTCAATTATCAACCCGGGGTCTAGATCTACTGCTTACTCCGTGATTCTCTATTATCTAGCAAACTAGTTCGAGTGATTGTTGTGAAAAGTAAAAGCAACAAGAAAGCAGTAAATTGTTCGGTTTTCTAAAGCAGGCAAGAGTCACTCGGGATTGAGTCCCCCTAGCCCCTTAGTTAGGTTCAATTGCAATTCCCTGGGTTGATTTACTGTTGATTAGACTGCGGAAGATCCGACAGTAGCTTGGAATCTCTTAAGCTGACCAAGCCCTCTCAGTCTAACTACCCGGCAGACGACTAGTCTTCACCGGGATAGAAAGCCGAGGCTTATGAACACAGAACTCTACTACTGGCGCCAAAAACACCAGTACAAAGCAGTAAACTGGCTAACTCTCGTATAGCCAATCTCCTACTATCGAATGAAGAGGCTCTAACAACCTAATCAGATTCTATCTATCTCAGGTTGCAGCAGAAATTGAGAAAAGCTTATCAGACTCAAATCAATTCAATAAACATGCGTCATTCGATTAAAATCAAACAGTAATATCATCCCAAGTCATTACAATCGAATCCCTAACACAAGGAACTAGGGTTCTTCATACCCAAGTGAGAGAAGGGTTCTACTCCATAGAGAGAGAAGAGAAAACAAGAATCGGATTAGTCATACTCATAACGATGAGGATAATCTGCTCCTGGACGATGATTTCCACTCCTATGACGATCTCCAAGCTCGATTCGATGAAATCCAGCTCTAAGACAGCTTCTAGGGTGTGTTCTTCGTACTTTCTCTCTCTAGGGCTCTGTTTTTGCTCTGAAAACACGATTCTCCCCCTTTTGGCTCGGAATAGGCTCTAAAACCAGGCTTTCCCGACTCGCACGGCCAGGGTGCACGGCCGTGCATACCACCCACTTGGCCGTGCACTCCAAAACGCGGCGTATCAATTAGTTCGACCTCAGGCTTCTCGCACGGCCAGGGTGCACGGCCGTGCAATCTTCAGGGTCTGCCCGTGCATGTCCTCGGCATAAGGCGCACGGCAATATTGCTCACGTGCACGGCCGTGCGTCTCCCTGGTCTGCCCGTGCAGCTCCCCAAAAACCTCGCCATTCGTCCGTTCTTCGTCCAAACGACCCCAGACTCGCTCCTAAGCCTTCATTCACGTACTAGGACCTGAAATATCATAAACAAGCACAACCTAGCGTGAAATCGGCCTAAAACACGAGAATCAACACCTCAAACGGTGTAAGAACGGGGGTAAAAACATGTGTAAATGACGGTCTATCAGAGAGCTTACAAAATAACTGTCAAAATGGCTTGCATCTTCACTGTAATGGTCATTGTATTTGGTTTCATCTTGTTGGGAAAATGAGAAAATGTTGTTTCACTTGTATCACTAGAATGTTGTTTATGTTTCATCTGTACCACCGGAATGTTATTTATTTTTCACGGAAGCCACTACGGATTTTTTTATATTTCATCTGTATCACTATGATTTTGATTGCATTTCATGAATGCCACTGCCTTGCTGGTTTTCTTTCGTTTGTATCACTCTGATATTTTCCCTTTGATATGTAACACCTTGTATAGAACAGAACAATACATAACATAAATGCAACCATAACCTGCTGAACATGAATTTAACCAAAAGCCAAAAACTTTACTTAACACCTGGAACTGTTTTACAGCAGCCATTAACTACCATTGCTGGTCCCCCTAAAGTTCAACAATCTGTTCAACATACGATTACAAGACAGCCATTCTGCTTGTCCTAACCAAGCACTACAATATACATGAATGACTTCAAAATAGTCAACAAAACAGCCATTCTACTTGTCCTCCTAACCAAGCACTACAATAGACATGAATGGCTTCAAAATTCTACACCCTACTCTTCACAGATTGCTCCTATGTGAGTCTTGGCTTGGTTGCTGGGACACTTGACTTGCTGGCCTTTGGGAACTTCCCTGCAAAGTTAAATTACATCAGTAGGCTTATAAAAAAATATCGAATATGAGAAATGGAAAACAGAAGACAAAAGAATAAACTTATACATCTGCCATCACTTGACTTGATGCTTGTTTGGCAGCCTTAGCTTGTAACTTCTTCAATGCCGCTAGCCTGTTTCTTTCTGCCCTTTCAAGCTGTTTCCTTCTCTGTATATCTTCCTTTTCCTTCTATTTTGCTTCTGCCCTATTTTTCTTTGCCAACTCCTTTGCTTCTCGGTTTTGATGAAATGTCTTGTTGTGCCCAACTACTCCGCAATCAGTACACTTATACTTCTTCTTTACTGGTTTTGCAACTTCTCTTTCAGGACCCTTTTGCCTCTTCTTACCAGAATCTTTTTCACCAGCTTCCTTTCTTCTAGCTTTCTTTGGCCTTCCTCTCTTAATAGAGTCACGAAGTGGAGGAACTCCAACGTCACCAAGTTGAGACAAAGGCCAATACTCTCTACCAGCCGTTGGTGATATGGAGTTCTCATAAATTCTTATGCACGAGTCCTTGAAGTAACAACCAGCCACAAAGTCGTATACCTTAAGCTTTGCCTTACGAATTGCTTGAATGGCATGCTCGCAAGGGATTTTGCCACCTCACCTCAAACTCCCCGTTGCCGTTTGATTCAGCAGACCACTTAAGGGCTTCTTCTCCTAGTTTTTGCAAATTCTTCTCAATGTTTTTACACAAAGGACCAGCCCACTTATTGGCTATACGTCGTCTTTTGGCATATAGCACCATCAGCCTCCTCCTAATCCCTTCCCACATGCCAACAGGACCCATATCCCTCTCATCGACGATGACATTATTCCAGCTCTCAACCAGGTTGTTCGTGTCCATATCTGTTAAAACGAGACACTGAAAATGCGACCTGGACCAATGGTAGTATGGCTTAGGGCTGGGCATGCGGGCGGATCATCCGCGGGTTTGGGCCGACCCACCCGCATTTGACCCGAATTTCGTTAAGTAGGTGGGTCTGTGGGTGGGTGACGGGTTGCGCTGGGAGCCATCCGCCGGGTGGTGGGTGGGTTGTGGGTGAGTGTGCGGGTGACCCGCTCAACCCAACAGCAAAAAATCAAAGTCGTTGGCGCTAGAGAGAGGAGAGTGGAGACGTTAGATATAAACTCGGACTGCTCCTGGAGTTTTAACCTCAAAGCCAGCCTTCCAAATAGAGATCCCCTCTTCTTCCCTTTACTTTTTCCTCTAATTCTTGTGCCTAGATCAACGCTCTTTCCTTTGTGGAATTATTTTCCTTAGTTCCTTGCACCTAATAATCGTCTCAATATGTAGAAAACTCTTTCATAATAGAATTTCTATCCAATTTAAGAACTAATTCGACATTTTTCGCCCTATTTCAACTTCTGGTTTCCCTCGATGATTCTCTTCACCTATTATCATGTCAAGTTGACTCCTTTATATTATATAAATTGTGATGTGGGTGAACCCACAAAACCACCCGCATCATCCACCATCCGCCCGACCCAACCCGAGACTAAATGTGGGTGGGCGGTGGGTTAAAAATTATCAATCCGTTTAAGCGCGGGTGGGTGCATTTTATGGTCAAAATCCACCCGACCCACCCAATGCCCACCCCTAGTATGGCTTGTCAACAAGCCAATCATAAGAGGGCTTGTTGTAATCCGACAGGCTTCTCATAGCAACTTGAAATTCAGAGACAGTGGTGGCTCTAGCTGCTTCCCAGAATAGCTCCTTAACCCTCGCTGATGATCCACATGCAGCACTTAGATTGGTCACAAGATGCCTGGTACAATGACGCTTCTCACTAGAGGGAAACACCTCATCTAGTGCTGGCATTAGACCCTTCAGAATGAAAATTACAGCAAAGGTTAACACCAATGTTTATTTTACAACAGCTTGTCAACAAAAAAAAAAAAATTTACAGCAGCAGCAAATAAATTTAAGGCAGCAAGAATGAGTAAAAAATGCACCTTTTGCTTGTCAGAAATGAATGTCCATCCAGGATTATCATTAATATGCAAATCGGTTCCCAAAAGCTCCAGGAACCAAAGCCAATTATCCTTGTTCTCCACCTCAACATGAGCAAATGCGATGGGAAAATATTGCTCGTTCGCATCAATACCAACGGCAGATAGCAGCTGGCCACCATAATCATGCTTGAGGAAGCATCCATCGATGCATATGACTTGCCTGCAGCCTGCTCTAAAACCTTTCATTGATGCCTCAAAGCATACATACATGCGATTGAACACTTGTTCTCGTTGCTCAACTACAATAGTGGAGTTTGGGTTGCTCCTCCTCAACTCTGCAGCATAATGATATAAGCTTTTGTATTGGTCCCTAATAGAACCACGGACCTTCTCAATTGCTGTCTTCTTGATTCTCCATGCCTTCATATCCCCAATCTCCTCCCTATAATCTTCCTTCACAATTTGCTTCAACAATTTCTTACTCATACTGTGATCTGCTGCCACCTTCTTAGTCATTTTATCCCCCAAGAACTTGTATGTGGCAAACCTATTGTTGAAGGTTAAGGTGCAATCTGCTGTGTGCTCAAGTTTGCACCTAGTGATCTTCACAGCATCTTCATCTCTCAACTTGGATGCCCATATGTACCAATCACATGGTGCCTCGCACATCACTTGCAGCCTCTTACCATCACTTCGTTTGAATAATATTGGTCGTTTCTCAATGAAAGAATATTGCTTGAGTGCATCCTTCAACACACCAAAGCTGCTGAATTTTTGAGAAATAGCAAAGGTTGGCTTCTCCATGTCTCGGTCCACCCGGAAATCAGGAACAATTGTAGCATCAGATTCGGAATCCGAACTATGGATAGATCTACGATCATCTGAGTCTACAGGATCAGACTCCTCGTCCACTTCTGCATCACCAAGGCCGTCATCTCCTCCACCAAACATCCCCATATCAGCCTCTACGTCGAAATTCACATTCTTCTCATAGTTTATATCATCACGAATGCTAATATCCGACTCAGAATCGCCCTCAAAGTCACTATCTTCATCCTCTCCTTCATAATCATTGTCACTATCTCCATCCTCGCGTACTGTTACTTCCTTTTCTGCAAGTGGAGTTGCATCTTCTTCATCATCACTATCCATAAACTCCAGAACTTCATGCTCAGCCATAGCATAAAGTTCAATGATTCTGGGAGGTTCATTAGCTGCTCCGGCCATTTCCAATAAGTCTTCATCTCTGGTAATCTCTGTCATTGATTCATCAAGGGGAGCTTTCCAATAAAACTTTGGTTTCGGAATCTTCCCACCACACTCCTTGTAGATGTCTACCAAGTCCAGAATGGAGAGCAGATCGATATCAGCGTGGTCATAGTACACAATAGTCTCATCCTGCATAAAATGCTTCCCTCTCTTCTTTTTGATTTGATAATCAACATGAACTTCAAAGCTGAATTCTCCACTACAATCACCTATTTATTTGAAAAAGAAAAAGAAAAAGGTCAGAAAAAAGAATCATGCCTCCAAGCAGTAGTATGTACTAGCAATAAAGGCCATCCACCAGCATGTTAACTACCTATGTTCACCATAAAGACCAACTGACAATGGACTAAAGACAAAAGAAATAATTTTCTATTGAAATAGCATACACTATGTTGTTGTCAACCTAATAAACAACTACTATACACACGTTTTTTGGCATAAAGATGAGAAAGTGACTACACTTACGATATTTAGGGATGGGAGCATCTGGTTGCCGCACATGTCCCCCCATATTGCTCGCCAAACGTGACAAACAACCTGGAAAACGACAGCAAAATCCCCACAGTCAAGAACTTTTATCATTTTCTAACTTTTCCCCTTTCAACACTTCGCATGACTATCATAAAAAGGGCCAAAAACAGCAAGTACCTTTGTGTCTGCCCCAAAAGCACCTTTGCGTCTTGTCGAGCAACCACCACAAAGCGAATCAGAAGGTAAGGTTAAGGGTTTCTGTCGATTTCATATTGGGAAATTTTTAGGGTTTCAGTAAAACAAATTGGGTACGATAAGAAGAGTAAAGGAAGAAAGGAACGAAAAGGATGGAGAAGGTTAAAATTCAAAACGTACCTCTTCAAGCCTCTGGGGTCGTTGTTATTGCAGATGAAGTAGAAGTCGTCGGCGGCAGCGGTTGGGAGTAGCAGCGTTGACCGCGGGGAATGAGAGAGAGAGAGAGAGGAGGGGAATCGGCGGTGGCTATGTAGATTCTCGCCGGCCGCGTGAGGAGGGGAATCGGGGAATCGCGTATGTAGTTCCGGATCGTCGTCGTGGCTGCTGCACCGCCGCCCGATCGAGCGCCTCCACTGCGGCGGCCTTACCTCCACCTCCCCTGGCCGGAAAATCCTTTCTCTGGCCTAGTCGGACCTGTCCGACCGGCGTCTCCCCTTCTCCCCTGATCGAGATCGAAGTCGCCTCCTCGGAAGAAAAACACAGAGAAGAGGAGAAGAGAATGCGAAGAGATACGAAGAAGAAGAAGAGAAGTGAAAAAACCCCTTCCTTTTACTTCCCGGTCGTTTTCAGTTTTCACACTAAAAGTAAAGTTTTTTTTTCGGTCCAAAAAGTAAAGCTTTTTTCAATAAAAATAAAATAAAAATGAAAATACAAAAAAAATGGGTCAATTAAATTGCTGGGTCGGGTATGTGGCTGACTAGGCAGTCAAAGCCGTCTTTTTTAGCCTCTCTGTCAGCCCAATCAACACTTCCGTTTGCCACGTCATCAAAAATCTGACGGCGTTAACGGAGTCTGACGGAGACTGACGGAGGGTGACCAACGGTGAAACGTTTCGTAAAGTGAGTGGTTAGATTGAAAGAAAATTAATTTGGGTGGCAAACGTGAAATGTTTATGTAATTTGAGTGACCAAATGTGTAATTTAGCCATAAGAAAATTAAAAATTGACATCTCATTTCCACCTTATTATCACTTTTATTTAAAATAAATAAAAACATAATTTCTTCTCATTTCCACCTCATCTTTGCAATAATTGATCATCTTAGCCACTCATTCTATCAATTCGGGCAAATTAGCAAAAGAGGAAAGTTGAGGAGTTGCAGATTTTTTTTTTTTTTTTTTTTTTTTTGACAAAAGATAATCATATATTGATTCACAAGAGATAGCATTACATCCTGGAACAAAGCCAGGTCTGAAAGTTAAAAAAGCGACACGTAGACGGGTACAAAGCAAGGGCCTTTCTAGCCACAACATGGGCTACCCTATTGTTCCTCCGTCCTACAAAGCGCAACCTAAACCCCGGATTAAGCACCATATACTCCCGAATTTCTTCCAACACCATCCCAATCCTACTATCCCCAGTGGCCGCTTGGTTGATCTTGTCAATAATGACCTTGGCATCACCCTCAAACCTCACCTCCTGGAAACCCTGGGCAACACACCACAAGACTGCTTCGCGGAGAACAAGCGCTTCCACCACCAACGGATCGTCAATGACTCCAAACTGCATACCCTGGGCTCGAAGAACCTCCCCATAAGAATCAAGAAGCACCATTCCACCAGCCGAATGAGACCCAGCCTTCGTTGCCCCATCCCACATACAAACCATCATGGAATCATCCCCCTGAACCGGAAGAAGGGGATTGGGACGAAGACCCTCACCCCTGTCTACTGGCACCCGCGCCCATTCCTCACATTGCTGTTGCCATTGGCGCATCAAGGCCGGGAAGCCAAACTGCTTGCCTTCAAAGACAACCCAATTACGCGACTTCCAAATTCGCCACAGAATTGCAACCACAGCCATGATCATCGGAGGGTGGCGAAGTAAGGCAAACACCCGTTTGAGAAACAAGGGAAAGGTATGCCGCGGCAACCCTTGCCCAACATGCTCTAACCCAGCTAAATCCCATAAAGCCCTGGCCACAGGACACTCCAGGAAGAGATGTTCCATAGTCTCCTTTGCTTCCCAGCAAACTGGACAGCGTGGAAGGACAGGAACACTTTTCTCAATGAGGTCCTCCGTGGTAGGTAGGATACGATTTAAAATCTGCCAAACAAACACCTTTAACTTCGGGGGAAGGTTTGCCTCCCACAGCCAGACCCAGCTAGTCTTATCCATCCAACTAGCCGAAGCTTTCCATCGCCCATTCCTTCTATCCAAATCCACCGCAAGGTGATAAGCAGATTTCACCGAAAATTCCCCATCCGACGTGCAGTGCCAAATAAGCTTATCCTCCATGTTCCGACGAGGCAGAGGAATCGACTGAATCAAACGACAGGTTGGGGGATCAAACCACTGCCTCAGCTTGGTCTCACACCATCCTCCTCTTTCCGGAACTAGGACCTCCGCCACCACCGGTTCACCACCAGCCGGGAGCACCTGAGGGTTGTAGACAGGCCTATCAGGATGCAAGTGAGGAATCCAATTTGAGGATAGAAGAGGTGCTGATTCGCCATTGCCAACTTGCCAACGAAGCCCTTGCTCAAGCAGCTGCCTCCCATAAAGAACACTCTGCCACCCCCAGGAAGGACGCGAGCGCGCTTGAGCTTGGAGAAACGTTCCCCTAGGAAAGTATTTCCCTTTATAAACTTGGGCCAGCAAGGATTGAGGTTCCTGGATAATTCGCCAGCCAATTTTAGCCAAAAGAGCCTGATTAAATTGTTCAAAGCGCCGGAACCCCAAACCCCCTTCATGCTTGCTTCTGCACATATTTCGCCAGGACATCCAATGGATCCTTGAATGGCCCTCCGTCGCACCCCACCAGAACCGCGCAATGTGCTTATCAAGGAGCCGACAAAGCGATAAGGGCATCCGGAAACAAGACATGACATGCAGAGGCAACGCCAGAGCCACCGATTTGATCAGAGTCTCTTTAGCTGCCAAAGACAACGTGCGTTGCTTCCACCCTTGTAGCTTTTCCAGCAATTTCTCCTCCAGGTAACGGAAGGTAGCCATCTTAGACCGAGCAATCAGGGTCGGGAGTCCCAAGTATTTATCCTGAACCCCGACCGCTCCCACCCCCAAAATTGCGGCCAGAAACTCCTGATCTGCTGGGATAATGTTTTTACTAAAGCAAACCGCAGATTTATCCAGGTTAACCCGCTGGCCGCTCAACTCCTCATACTCATTTAAAACCTCGATCAAATTCTCACACTCCTGGAGATTTCCTCGCAGGAACAAATAAGAATCATCCGCAAAGAATAAATGAGAAATCCGAGGGGCTCGCGGAGCAACTTTCACTCCTTCCAACCTCTTATCCGCAATTGCTTTCCGAAGAATAGCAGCAAATCCTTCCGTACAAAGCACAAACAGCAGAGGAGACAGGGGATCCCCTTGTCGGAGCCCTCGGGAGGGCGAGAAGAAACCCGAAGGGGACCCATTCATTAAGACCGAGAACGAGGTGGATCGAAGACATTCATGGATCCATCCGATCCAAACTGAGTTGAACCCCATTTTGTCAAGAACTGCAAGCAAGAAGGGCCA